TAATATTTAAATTAATATTATGTTATCAATTTAATTAATTATAATTAAATTGTAAATGTATAAAAGCAAATGTATAAAAATTAAAATAATTTCACTGTTAGGCTAAAACAAACACAGAAGTTACTGATTTATAAGTAAGTCACTTGACAGCAAAATGTAACAGTAAATTTTCAAACCACTTAAAATATAGAAAAACATACACTGGAAGTTGCTAAAACTTATATTTATGTCTTATAAATCATGATACTTCAAATGCCAATGGTAAAATATTATTTTAAATTGTTTATATAATAAGGCTATAATGTAAAAACACTTATCATACTTGAAATAAAGTACAGAATATGTCTAAAGAATAAATAAAATCAACACTTCAGCATACTAACCAATTATTACTTACTGTCTATGTATATGTTTCTTCTATTTGTACTTATGTAAACACATATCTCTGTGTAACCTTATACAATAATTATATGTTTTACGTTTATCTTAGAGATACAACAATAAAAATATACACTCAGTTAAATTGCCATTATTAAGTTTAGGTTATAATCATATATAAAAAATATCATGCGTACGTATGTCATACACACAGTACAAATACTTTTTCTAATTTGTTGAAAACTAAAAATGATATAATTACTACATTATACTTTAATTACAGCCATTCTAAAATAAGAAACGTATTCCAGATGAATAATTAATTTCATTTCTCTTACCATTACTATCTTGCAGTTGAAGTTTGTCAATTCCTTGTTCAAAGATAATGTAAATTATGACACTAAAGCAAAAATATCTTAAAACCACTACTAAACTTAACAGAAATATGAGAATGCAATTTATACATTATGCAAAGCAAAATCAAGTAACATATTCAGTTGTGAACTGGATATCATACTGTAGATGTGTACATACACGGTCAATATTCAAAGGTAAGTAAGTATATGTACAAACGAGGTATAGGATAGACCTATCATTTTATGGGATTTGGTGTCATGTTCTGAAATACTGATAGTGAAAAAATCAAAAGTTTTGTTTTGCTTTAGCGTAGTAGATTTAAGGATTATACTCAGTCCAGTCAATCATTAAAATCAGTAAATGAAAGTTATAACGTCACAGATAAGGTATAAGACATAGTCCTATACCTCGTTTGTGATATATGTATATGGAATTATTCGGAAAATTCGTGCCGATTTTTAAGTAAATAAGTAAACTCCATATTTTACAGCAATAATTTCTTCATTTTGTAAGATGTGCACCATTTTGTTCTACAAGCCTTTTTCCGGCAATTTGAAAATTTTATTTTGTTAAAAATTTTTTTTACTTTTTCTTTAAGATTGAAACTTTGCGAACAATTTTTTCTGATATACTATCTTTTCCTTAAACATTTCATACCTGATTTGCTGTTTTAGTGTCATTTTCCCTTTTTGGTAAAAGAAAAACATTAAGTATTGGACATGTGTGTAATGTATTTTCTTCCATCTTAAAACAATATTGTAACTGAGAAGAAATTAGTAATTGTAACCAATCGATTTTCAAAAGGCACGTATAAAAATAATCTCAAAATATATGCAAACTTAATATGTTTTCATCGAGTTTTATTTGTTCTACCGTATTCAAGCACTATCTATGGAAAATCAGCGCAAACTTTCCGAATAACCCAATACTTTTATTGGTATTTGTGCTTGGTTAGGAGCTATTGGCGGGCTAGTAACAAGAGTAATAACACGCGCATGGGAAGAAGCGCCACCGATGACAAACTACGTTCTTATATTTTTTATTATAATCTAATGGAAATGTTACGACTAAATCGGTATGATAGTGCTGAAGAAAGTGAGTGCAAATACGATCTTATTGAAACTGCTTTTACTTATACGTATGTATGTATGTACATGTTATCATAATGTTACTAGAGGAGAAGATCTAAATATGTCAAACCTGTGAATGATTTTTAAGATATAACGCTTGAATATACATATATATCAATAACATGTTTACTATATGATATGAAGTAAAAATAAGCTGAACAAAAGCAACGCATATTGCAAATTATACTGTTTAGTCGTAAAATAGAATTAACCTAAGGGAATCCTGTAGCCGGATTTATGGCTTCAAAAGTGGTTACGTCGCAGGCAAGTACAGTAAATTCTCCACAAGTGTCAGTCCGCAAGGAACCTAAACCTGACACTTGTAGAGTCAGGGACTACGTTTTCGAGCCTAGCGCCCGCCTTTGTAGTTTGCCGAACGTAGATAAGCATGAAACGTGAGTCGAGGCAACCAAGCGATTTAAATACCAACTTTTTTAATTTTACGTTTTTTTATCCCGAAATTTTTCTTAACATATTGATGAGATTTTTCTGATGAAAATGACATCAAACATGACATAATTTAAACAACATTTACTTATTAACACGTACACTGTCTGGCGTGACAGTGAATAAGTAAATGTTGTTCAAATTATGTCGTGTTTGATATCATTTTCATCAGAAAAATCTCACCAACATGTTAAAAAAAATTTCAGATGAAAAAAAGTAAAATTAAAGAAATTATATTTTTCTATTATGAATTGTCGAGCCGTGAAATCTCGTAAAAGAAACCGAGTGGTGTAGGGTTACATGTTTGATTGACAGCGAGCGAGATAACATAGGCGCAGCAATGACGCAGCCTAGGCGTAGGACCACCTATACTGACACTTGTGGAATCCAAACTGACTAACACTTGTAGAGAATTTACTGTATTTTGTTTTCAACGGACAAGGGTGTCCCTTTTCGCGTTGCGTGCGACACTCGGTCACTAGGACTCGAGAGGCCATAAATCCTGGAGTGTCCAAGAGTTTAAGGGACAAGTGGGCCTCGATATTTCGTGGCTGGGCCCACTTCACGCGAGAAAGTCTCGACTTCGCGGAGACTCCACAGGATTCCCAAACATTCCGTCGCCGAACACCTTTTCAGTCGTTGTGCATTCCTTCCCTAAAATAGTGCGTTTAGGGCGTAACGGGAAGGGGGTGTCAATGCATCGGAGAAAAACTGATTGGTGGAAAATCGTTTTGGAAATCACCAATCAGGGTGATTCGGCGAGGAACGCAGCCCTCGTGGAGACGGACCACGAAAGCTTGCGACAGTTCGACAAAGAAGGCCACAAGGCAAAGTTCAAGATAGAAGGCCACAAGGCAAGGTTCAAATTAGAAGTCTCAACAAGAGACAGCTGCAATAAAAGTCTCACCAAGAGATCAGTATCGAACTCAAATTATTGAAATTAGTGTAACCAGTCCGGCGTAACAGTCAATAATAAAACGACCTAACCAAGGTGAATCGACGTGAATTTTATTTGAAACCCTTTCCCACGTCAACAAGCCGTCGGGAGAAGTGTGCAACTAAACATATACGTTTAAAATAAAAAGGAAAATCTTCATTTTTGGAAAGGCGGTGTAAATATGGGCCATTCGTAAAATAATAGAAATGAAAAGTAAGAACTGCATATTTTCAGGTTGAAATATTTAAAAACATGTTCAAAATGTAGATAAACTTAAATTTAAATCCTATTTAATAGTCACAAACGTATACATTTTTTTCAAGATTTTATACATCTTGTTTTTTTTGTCTTTCTTTTTAATGTTTTGGAATTTTTTTTAATATAGTTGTGGCGGCCCATGCAGCGCGCACAGCGCCACATTTTATATACAACTTAGACGGCGAGACGCTCGCAACGGACGTGTCATTCGTCGGCGAATCCTCATCCCTTTGTCCCTTGACTCCCATGCATCCAGATCCTTATACCTACCTACCTGCGCGTTTTCCACTTTCCCACCGAATTCCTGCCTTATCTCCGGCAGACCTTCAAGCTGATGCACTCTACCCATTTTTGTACCGAATCCTTAAGTTCATTACCTACCCATTGTCCCTGCATTCTTCTTTCTAACCATCGGACCCTCAATCCTAGTACAACTTAGACGGCGAGACGCTCGCAACGGACGTGTCATTCGTCGGCGAATCCTCATCCCTTTGTCCCTTGACTCCCATGCATCCAGATCCTTATACCTACCTACCTGCGCCTATTTAATAGTCACAAACGTATACATTTTTTTCAAGATTTTATACATCTTGTTTTTTTTGTCTTTCTTTTTAATGTTTTGGAATTTTTTTTAATATAGTTGTGGCGGCCCATGCAGCGCGCACAGCGCCACATTTTATATACAACTTAGACGGCGAGACGCTCGCAA